AGAACAGAATAGATGATATGGAATGGAATGGAATGGGAAAGGATAGAATAGAATAGAATAGAATAGAATAGAATAGAATAGAATAGAATAGAATAGAATAGAATAGAATAGAATAGAATAGAATAGAATTCTTTATTGGCCAAGTGTGACTGGACACACAAGGAATTTGTCTTGGTGCAAATGCTCTCAGGGTACGTGAAGGAAAAGATACATTCGTCAAGAGTCAAGAATATGAAATATCCCAAAGGCAATGACTGCTGGCTGAGTTTTTCTTGTGAGAAGGTTGTAGGGAGCTTTTCGTGGAATCACTTATAGCTCTTGAACTTGAATTGAATAACAGAATAACAGAGCCGTGGTGGCGCAGTGGTTAGAGTGCAGTATTGCAGGCTAATTTTGCCCACAGCCAGGAGTTCGATCCTGTTGTGGCTCTGGGTGGTCTCAGCCCTCCATCCTTCCAAAGTTGATAAAATGAGGACCCAGATTGTTGAGGTCAATATGCTGACACTGTAAACCAATCTGTAAAGCGCTATAGAGCGGTATATAAGGCTAAGAGCTGGCATAGTGGCGCAGTGGTTAGAGTGTAGTACTGCAGGCTACTTCTGCTGACTGCTGGCTGAATGCAGTATTTGATAGTTCGAATCTCACCAGGCTCCAGGTTCACTCAGACTTCAATCCTTCCGAGGTAGGTAAAATGAGGAGCCAGATTGTTGGGGACAAGAGGCTGATTCTGTAAACCACTTAGAGAGGACTGTAAAACACTGTGAAGCAATATATAAATCTAACTACTATTGCTATCACAGAGCTAGAACGAACCTTAGAGGTTTACTACCCAAACCCCTGCTCAAGCAGAAACTCTATGGTATTTCAGACAAATGGTTGTCTCTTCTTAAAAACCTCCAGTGATGGAGCTCCCACAATTTTTGGAGGCAAGTCACTCCAATGGTTTATTGTGCTCACTGTCAGGAAATTCCTCCTTAGTTCTAGGTTGCTTCTCTCCTTGATTAGTTTCCATCCTTTGCTTCTTGTCCTCCCTTCAAGTGCTTTGGAGAATAGCTTGACTGCCTCTTCTTTGGGGCAGCCCCTGAGATACTGGAACACTGCTATCATGTCTCCCTTAATCCTCCTTTTCATTAAACAAGACATACTCAATTCAAACGTTCTTTGTAAGTTTTAACCTCCAATCCTCTGGTCATCTTTTCTTTTTGTAAAAAGTTTTTTTTATGTTTTAACAACAAACATAAACAAATATAAACTCAAAACAACAAATAAAATCTTCTTTCAATTATACAGTGTGTCGGTTGGTACATATTTCTTGTGCACAATATCTATCGTCTTTCCCTCTTAGATTTAGATTTATATTCATATTATACTAATCAACTTCCCATATCATGTTATGTTTTCATTACACATCATCCTTAGACTTTAGTTGCAAGTTCACATCGTCCTTTTCAAGCAAATCTCAATTTTTTGCAAATACTAACTTACATGATGCTGTAATTCCTTCCATAATAATCAATTATAAGATATCATGACCGTTATTTTATATTTACTATTATATTGCCCTCTGATCATCTTTGTTTTTCTTCTCTTCACTCTTTTTTGGGGGGGAGGGTTGGATTCTTTCCTGACCAACAGACGAAAGGAATCCCAGTCGCAAGAAGATCACAACAGCAGGCTGAGGGCCACGGTGGAGGAGTTGCAGGCGGCCAGCCTGCTTCAGGAGGAAATGATAAAGGAATCCAGTAGCCAGATTGATTATCTGAAAAAATTGGTCCAGGGCCACGATGAGGTGTTTGAACAGCTCCGCAATCTTCTCCTGCACTACGAAGGGGGTCCAGACCGGAAGACGTATGGATACGAAAGTGTTGCCAGTCTCCGCATCTCCTACCTGCCCGCTGCTTTCGCCAGGATTCTCCAGGACTTTGAAACGGAGGTGTTGCGTTTGAAATCCAAGTTTGTCCCAGTACGTGATTTTTTCCCCCCCTCTTAAGTTGCTTATCTTCACCCCAAATTTGGAAATGTTCAGGTAGTGCATCGACTTACGATCACAACTGAACCCAACGTTTATGTTGTTGGGTGACAGAGGTGGTATTCAGCAGGTTCTGACCCGTTCTGGAGAACTGGTAGCGGAAATTTTGAGTAGTTCGGAGAACCGGCAAATACCGCCTCTGACTGGAGATTTTACAGTATCCTTCCCCGCCCACGCCCACCAAGCCACGCCCACAGAATCGGTGGTAAAAACATGTGAATCCCACCACTGCTGGGCGAGACAGTGGTGAAGTGAATTATTTGCCCCATTTTATGACCTTTGTTGCTGGGAAACTTCCCTCAGTTTATGACCAGATTGAGCCCAACGTTTCTGCTGCTAAGCAAGACACTTGTTAAGTGAATTCACCACCGCCGTCGTTAAGTTAGGAATATGGTTGTGAAGTGAATCCAGCTTCCCACATGGACTTTGCTTGTCGGAAGGCATGAAACACACACACACGGACATTGCAACCATCATAAAGATGAGTCAATTTCCAAGCATCTGAATTTTGATCACATGACCATAGGGACATTGCAATGGTTGTAAGCAGTGGTGGGATTCAATTTTTTTTTACTACCAGTCCTGTGGGCGTGGCTCGGTGGGCATGGTTTGGTTTGGCGGGTGTGGCTTGGTGGGTGAAAGGGAAGGATACTGTAAAATCCCCATTCCCTCCCCACCCCACTAACCTGCTTTCCAGCTCTGTTTTCCTGTGCAGGGCAACGAAAGAAGAGCCAGCCAATCAGCTGGGACTGGGGAGGCAGAGAATAGAGGGGGCGGGGCCAGTCAGAGATGATATTTGCCGGCACTCAAAATTTCCGCTACCGGTTCTCCAGAACTGGTCAGAACCTGCTAAATACCACCTCTGGTCATAAGCAAGGGTGGGATTCTACCAGTTCGGCCCAGTTCAGGCAAACCAGTAGCTCCGGTGTTCATTTGGCCCTGCCCACTCGCCCCTGCCCTAGTCTGTCCTTTATTTCTGTGTTTTGCAGCTCAGCTGATTCACGCGGTAGAGCAGTTTTGCTGCACCTCAGCTGTTTTACTCACTGGGGCTGCAGTCGAAGGGAAATATTAAAGCTAAAAATTGGAGGTTTTCCAATGCTGCATGTGTGCGTTTGAACCGGTTGTTAAACCGGTTGAATCTCACCACTGGTTATAAGTGTGAAAAATGATCATAAGTCACTTTTTCCAGTGCCGTTGTAACTTAAAACGGCCACTAAATGAACTGTTATAAGCAGGGGACCACCCGTAGTCAGAGAAAACAGGTGTGAGGGACCATCTTATGGAAATGTAGATGGAATTCCTCAGAAAACACGTTATCAGCCCTGGCAAGAGGAGGAAGTAAATATTGATTGAGGCAGAATGAAAATGATTGTCAGTGTAAGTGTAAAAACAGATACTCAACAAACGTGAGGCTACTCCTCTTATCTGTCTCAGCATCCACGTTTCACAAACGGGCCACAGCCCTCTGAGTGCTGAGGAAAAGTCTTTGTCATTTACGCCATATAGTTGCTTGTATTAAAATACATTTTAATTATCCGTAACTTGTGACATTTTTATCAGCTGGAAGAGCAAATGGATATGATGCAGAGAGAATCACAGTCGAAAACTGAAATTTTGCTCCAGCAGCATCAGGACAGGTATGCCGTTTCCGGTTTCTTCGTTTTGAATGTATTTCCTATCACTTTCCTGTCACTCACCAAGAAAGTTCCCACAGCAGGTTACAGATGGTCCTCGACTTACCACCACGATGGGGGAGGAAAAGTAGGATTGCCAAGAAAGGCAGTGTGATGACCCAGGGCACGGCACAGAGGTCACACAGGCAGCTGGCAGTTCAAACCACCCCTTTATATTGCTCCAAATTTCTCCAAATGCTCCCACCTTTCTGGCAAGTCCCAGAACAAAGTGATCTCTCTCTCTCTCACACACACACACAGACACACATGCCTCAACAGCCTCTGGCTGCAAGTAGTCCGCCCCGATGCTGTGAGCACCACGGCTGCAAAGCAAGAAATCCAGCAAGAATGCAAGGAATCCAAGAAAGTTCCAACGTTGGCACTCAACACTCCTGGAATTCAGCATTCGTTCCCGACAAATGCCTCTCCTCGCAGCGTCTCCTTAAGTCTCTGTCTCTGGGTGCCTTGTGGAGAGGGGTGGGGTGCTCTCCTCCCAAGTAGCCGGGTCAGTTTGTGCTGTTCTCCCCTTCTCTCCACTCTCCGTGCTCATAGATCAGGAGCGGGTGGTCCTTGCTCATCGCCTGAGCTCTGTCTCTCATGTTCGCTGCTTAGCCTCTGTTGGTCATCCTGTCCCTCTTCCTCCCTGCTTACAAGCTGTCCCAATCCCGAAAGGGCTCGGCCTGACTGGGCTTGCTCCTCCCCATTTTCCTCCCAAGCCAATGAAGCCACACACGCCCCCTCGATCTCCATCCGGCTTCCCCATTGACTTCGCTTGTCCGAAGGTCGCAAAAGGGGATCGACACGACCCTGGGACATTGCGATCATCATAAATGTGACCCAGTTGCCGAGCGCCTGAACTTTGGTCACATGATCCTGGGGATACTGCAAAGGGGGCAACGATTAAAAAACAGTCATAAGTCACATTTTTCAGCGTCGACCGGTCACTAAATGAACCATTGTAAGTCGAGGACTACCTGTGTATCTTCTCATGGCAAAAATCTTTTCCTATTTGCCGTGTTTTATCCTAGATTTCTAACTTGATCCTGCTAAAGCACAGGGAGAGGTAATCGGCGCATTAGACCGCAGGTGCTTTATCGCTATTACCTTATGGTCTTTTTCGTGTTCATTTTGTTTTAATAACAGTATTGAGAGGCTGATCGGTGAACATGAGCAGGATTTGGAAGTACTGAGGGAGGCAGCGAAGGCTTCCCACAGCCACGCCAGCAACATTCAAAGCCAGATGGAAATCATTCAGTACGTAAAACACTTCCAAAGGGGCAACCCACCAAATGTTCCCGAGCAGAGTTTTATGAAACTTGGCCACTTTAAGACCTGCGGAGTTCAACTCCCAGAATTTCCCAGCCAGCACATCTAAAGCAAATCAATGGTGGGATTCAAAGTTATTTTTACTACCGGTTCTGTGGGCGTGGCTTGGTGGGCGTGGCAGGGAGAGGTTACTGCAAAAATCTCCACTCCCTCCCCACCCCCACTAACCTGCTTTCCAGCTCCGTTCTCTTGTACAGGACAACCAAAGAAGATCCAGACAATCAGCTGGGACTCAATGGGAGGCAGAGGATAGATGGGGTTGGCGGGACCAGTCAGAGGTGGGATTTGCCGGTTCTCCAAACTACTCAAAATTTCCGCTACCGGTTCTCCAGAACTGGTCAGAACCGGCTGAATACCCATCTCTGAAGCAAATGCCCCAAAGTTGCTTATTCCAAAGGGCAACTGAACGTCCTTGTTTTGTCTCCTTTGAAAACCTTTCTCTTCTCATCCGACAAGCTTCTTCAAACATATCTCAAAGGCAAAATCCACTTGCCCTTTGGGGTGGGTGGGGGGTGGGGGAAGCACCTTGGGGACAATCGTCACCTGGATGATTGACAATCTCCACAGACATTCAGCTGAGAATGTAAGACACCCAGTCTGGCCATCGGAACTCTTGTTTCAGGCATCCCAGCCAAAGAATGAAAGGGAAAGCCTTAAGCCCAGCATGGTGACCTCCCTTCAGGGTCTTTGTCCCGAAGTCCTGGACCTCGGAGGCATAGACGTCGCAAGGCGCAACGGCCTGCATGAATGGACATACCTGTTTCCTTCCCCCGCCCCCGCAACCATTTATCAAGCTCTTCAAACTGCACGTACAATATTTATTTGCCATAACTGCAAAACTGCAGGAGTGGTACGGTGGCAGGGGAGTGGAATTCTACCGGTTTGGAACGGTTTTATAGAACCGGTTGTTACGATTCTGCACAGTTTGGAGAGCTAGCAAATCATGTCCCTGGCTGGCCCCGCCCCTCTCTGCCCCTCCCCTCCCAGTCAGTCCTTATCGCGCATTCACAACATCGCTGACTGTATCCTCCCCCGCCCAGTATTAAGGTATTTCTTTTTTCTCTCCTCCCAACGATCAGCTGTTCCGATGATCAGCTGTTCCAGGATCCCCATTGCTGTCTGACTGCTTCGCCCAGGAGGCTTCCCGGAGGCCTCAGAGGCAAAATGGTGCGCATGGAGGGGTTGGGGGACACGGAGGGAATCCTGCTCCGCCCTGTGCCCCATTTTTTGTCTTCCTGGGCCCCAGGGAAGCTTTCTGGGACTAAAAACACCCCCCAACAGGCTTCCCTGAGGCCTAGGAGGCAAAAAAATGGTGCAAAAATGAAAGGAAGGAAGGAAGGAAGGAAGGAAGGAAGGAAGGAAGGAAGGAAAGAAAGAAAGAAAGAAAGAAAGAAAGAAAGAAAGAAAGAAAGAA